TAGGGAAAGCAGTAAGATAGGATGAGGGGGGACGCTGGACCTGAAGTCACAGGCTCACAGCCCATGCGTTCATTCATTCTCTCACTAAAGATTTCTAAATCACAATGAGCAGAGCAGTAGAGAGGGAAGAGGAAGAAGGTTATGGAACTTCATATCACCATTATAGTCAAATTTCTAGATAAGTTACAAACTTTTTGGTTTTCTTTACTGATGTTCTCTCTTTTTGTCCACCCCTTTCTTCTAATCCTTGCTCTCTTTTTTGAATTGTTATTTATTCTGTATTATGGACCAGGCCACTTAAATTTTTAGCCCAAAATGAACAGCAACCTTCTAATTGGACTGAAAATAGTCCTAAACTTATGTAGCCCAATCGAAGTGTGACATAACTTTCCATTCCATAGGACAACAATAGACGCTAATTGCCGGGAGAAACAAAATCCGAAGCCTCTATCACATTTTGTGATGATCCTAGGGCATTAAAGAAAATAAAATCCTTAATTTCTTCTTCTAAACCTAATGAAAGCAGAAAAAGCAAGAAAGTACTTTATTTTATTTTATTCTAGATCAACCCATATCAAAGTTCTTCACAGATTTATGATAATTTAGGAGTTTATTTATACATTATTTTGACTTATTATTTTTTACTTAAGCATCTTTTCTTAATAAAATCAATAGATTAAAAGATACAATAGCATTTAAAAAAATGTAGAATAATTAAAATTTTAAATTTGATTTGCATTGATATAATATAATATATAGTTTAAGAAATTCACTTCCTTTTGATTCTAGTTTCGAGATAGAAATTTTTTAAATTCAGTTTTGAGTCAATAAAATAAAATCTAAAACCTGATATCGAGTTGAAAAAAATAAAAAGGTGTAAAATTTATAAAAAATTTACATTAAATATATATATGGGTACGAGATTTGTTAAAATTTTTGTTGAAATACACATGATCATACTACTACGATAACATATGATACAATTAAATAATTTATCATATGTAAATAATCGACGTCTCTGTATTGTAGAACACATGCCTGGTTAATGATATCAAGTTCTGGAAATCAGAACAGTTCTAGTGTTGATAACTAGACCGTGCATTTCTATCATGTATACTTGGACAGCACTGTTCGAAAATGCAAGTGCAAAATGAATGATTGATCGTAAGAAAGATCATGTATCCAAAAGGTCCGAAGGTCTTCGAAGGAAATTATTCAAGCCATAATTGATTCTGCACTTCGAGATGATTGTGTAGGTATGTCTGGAAAAATAACGAAAAGCATAAAATGAGATGGAACTAAAACATAATTATTAAGTTAAAGTATCATATTTAGGTTTAAATTAATCTATTAAAAAATTCTATTAAGATTTGAATTAACTACAACTAACTATTTTCATTGTTAATAAATGCCGAAAATTCTATTTTCATTATTAAATATTTTTAAAAACACAGGATAGTTACAATTGCAGGGGGAAAACAGGCTTCTATGAAGTGGTGAACTCCCAGCCAGCACAGCCAAGAAGGAGATCAGACTTGGCCTTTGCCCTTTGCACATGCCAATCAAGTGGCTTTCATTTGTGCTGACAAATTAACAATATCGTATGATAACGCCTGATAATTATTCGTGGCCCTAATCAAAAAGTCATGACCTGTTCGTGTTTTTTTTTCGGTGGGATATGATAAGCTTGTACCCTAAAAATTCAAATTTATTCAAGGGTAAATTACTTGATTGGGCCCATCTACCTGCATCCAAAATTTCAATCCTAATCATTTATTCCAGGTGACAACCGGCAATATGCTTACCAACCTTTGACTTGAGCAACCCATCTGCTTGATTACACATTTTCCTTTAATTCTACTGCTATTCAAGGTTCTAATTATGCCATTCAGCAATTCTACGAGCAATTAATCCATTCGTTTCAGCAATCTGTTTTATTCTAAATATGCCATTCAACAATTCTGCGAGCAATTAATCTATTCATTTCCGCAATCTGTTTTATTCTAATGATGCCATTCAACAATTCTGCAAGCAATTCTGCTATTTAAGATTGTAATCACTTTCTATAATTTTAAAAAAGCAGCTTTGTTGAAAAACCACAAGCCACTTTTGGTTTAATATGTGAATAAACTGTCATTCTAGTATTTCCTACCAAAAACTTGCTTTTCTTCTTTATTCTAAATAAAAATGGATCCAGAAAAAAAAAAAAAAAAGATTTGTCCCTAGAAACATGGACATTGTTACCTCTAAACCTAAGACCAAAAAAATAATAATTAAAAGTCATAGGTCTAACAGACTAGATTCCAAAATTAGAGAGGATAGAACCTTAATATATATATATATATGTAGTAAGAGGAGAGTAGTTCTTCTACAAGAGTTCTTCCCTTAATGATATCAGAGAACCTCTAGTAAGAGAAAGGTTGCTTCAGACCCCGATGATAATGTCCCTAGCACTAAAAAAATAAAGGATATAAAGTTTTTTAAAGATCAATAAGAAAGAGTACATAACTCAAATATCTATCGGTATTGAGCATATCGGCTAGCCAATCTGATGCGAACATCATGATTATGCAACTTATTACAAGATTGACAACAAATCATGAAAAACTCAAATATATTTGATATAAGTGTGAAACAATAAAAACCTATCTCAAGGCACCAACATAGTTGAAATAAGAACCTTTATCGCACAAATATCAATTCGTGAATGAAAAGTAGAAGTAAAACACTATGAAACTAGTTAATCTTTGAAAGTAATTTATTTCATTAAGAAAAAAAGAATGTGAGAATCTCTCACAAAAGCTTAATAAATTTTGCAACAATAGTATTGTTAAATCTTCATATTTTGTCTTTATAAAGAATATATATTTATAATCTTAAAAATAAAAACACTAATGGGTCAAATATGCACCCAAATTAAATAAAGTCTAAATTAATTAAAATAAGATTTAAAGCAATAAAAATAAATAAAATAATAGTCTATAGTTATTTTTCACTTTTTGACGCATATGATAGTGAAAAATACCTAAAAAAATAATTATTGAAGAATATTTGTTGAACAAAAGCCTGATGCCTTATAAAATAGGAATTAATTTATGACTAATTAATTCATCTTGTTTGATATAAAATCCTTGTAAAATAAGTAATATAAAGGTAGCCACATAAGTTCCCGATAGTATTAACAATTTTTTATAATGAATAGAATTCATAACTTTTACAAAAACAATATCTTCTATATTTTCGCACTTTGTTGGCATATTTTATGTCTAACTTTAAATACTTCATTCTCTATCATGCGAATGAATTAATTAGTCTACCATATTTTTTTTAGAATGGTTTAGATATCTATTCCTCAACCTAACTGAAATTGCATCCAAAATCCTTATGTAGCTTTAGATAAGACATGAAAACTATATAAAGGTCCAAATTGATAGGTTTGAACCTTTTTAACCCAAAACTCTTGACTTAGCTCATTAAACTCCTCTTGAATCCACTTCATTTTAGACTTTATAATAGACTTAATGGATATTCCTAGTGGATCTTTTGATGTCATAGCCTGGATCACATCATAACTTTAGGCTTTGCCCAAGGTCATTTTAAAAATTACAACCCCTTTTTATATGTATATGTTAGAGTGCACCTTTCTTCTTTAGGGATTTATAAAGAAAGTTTTTATATATTATCAATTAGGCTTAGACTAGTTATACCTTAATGAGTGAATAATCTTATTCTCTTTTAATAAGTTTCTTAAGCTCATAGGAATCGAGTTTATGATTAATATCTTTAAGACTTGTTACCATCTTATTATTGGTATCAATGGTGGCAATGAAATGTATTGATTTTTACCTTTACTAATAGTTCAACAAGAGTCATAAAGGGAATTCTGTAGTGAAAACTTGCTTATATCAAAAAATAGAGGGGTGGGTAACTAAAAATGATTTACAATAGGTTAGTGAACTTTATAGGTAAGATGCAATAGAAGCAAGGTTGTTCCTACTATTGGAAGGTACCCCCCTGATGTTAACAGTAGATATTATCTGAGTTTGGATAAGAAAACATATATTGTATCGGTATCAACCTCAACCAAATACAAAGTCAATATGATGGCTATATGTATTACCAAATACTGTTGAAAAGTATGTAACTTTTTTCCCTTTATTTTTATTGCTTTTATGTTTGTTGTTGACTCTATTTTTGTGTATGATTAACAACTGAAGGAGAATGAGAAACTACAACAAGGTTTGCAAAAAGATAGTTCATATAAAAGGTCTTCATCTTTTAACTTGAGTAGAGACAATACTAGAGAAGAGATAAAGATCCCATCATAGTAGATGAACTCTTTATCCTCGAGGATTGAATGAACGAAACCAAAACTCTTATAAAAATAAAACCTAAGAGGAGTTATACTAATCTACCTAGGGGTTAAACAAATTTGCCTCTTGAAGTGATTGCGGATGTTGCTACCTACTTTAAAAGAAAAAAGGTCTTCACAACAACTATTGGGCCCTCTACCTAGGTTGTTTTTGAGAAGGTTGAATTTAAGAATGCCTTTTCAACCTCGCTATTGATTGAGCTCCTTTCAATTTCTCCACCATGACTAATAAGGAGAGGCATCATATAAAGACTATTGTTTGTGTAAGGTCAAGCCTTAGGAAGACT